TTGAATTAATGTGTTTATTCCCTAATGTAGATCTAGACTGTGTATGTGGGCATTGGCTGTTCTGAGTGGTTTTCCATATCTGTCAGTTTTTCTTGGTTAAATGTCAAGGTGCAGTAGTTCATCTGCAACTTTTAATTGCTCTTGGTAGTTTATATAGATTTGAGCAGCTTGAAAAATTTTTGTATATGTACTTCTTTTTTCCAAATAAGTACTACTGCTAGAGGAATCATTTTCCTAAACAGAAAAGTCAGTATTTTATTTGTTTGTCTGAAATTTGAAAAACTGGATTTAATTTAGATTTGAAAAAAAACAACAAAACCTTATCAGGTTAATATATAATATTTAAAGATGGTGCAGCTAAGTTCTTTTTGTGTTTTTACTGAACTATCATTAAATACTGTGTATTTGCAACCTTTATTTTTTTTTCTTTCTGTCCTCAGCTATCCCCGAAGGAATAACCTCCGCCCCTTCCCCCCTCTCAGACATGTTAACATAATTTGCATGAAACAAATTAGCTTAACATTTTAGGAGGTTTTTTTTAGAATAAGTTTTGTCAATACAAGTGAGGAAGCTTTAAATGATTAATTGCTGTTCTGGTCAATTGACAGTGAAACTGGCAAAGCTTAAATTTCAATTGTGTTCTTAAAATACGCTCCTCTGTGTTTGTTCGGTGTTCACTCATCTTAATAAGAAGCAAGAGTAGCTTCCAGAAGAATACAAGGTATTTATTGTATTCACCTAGTTACTTAATTGTATACACACAAGTATCATTTCTGATCCGCGACCTGAGGCTGTCACATCCCTAGTATACATACATGAGAGCAACACATGCTGGCTGAAAGAACAGCCTGCAAAAATGAAATCTCTTCAAAATATAGCTCTGTAGGGTGGTCTGCTTGATCATACAGTTATTGTTTACATAGAAATAGATGCTTGTTTTTACTTACTTTGATGCTGCTTTTAATTTTCATTTTATTTTCACTATGGGTAATAAAATACCTATTTCACAAGTTACTGCATTTGAACTCTTTGGCTGATGAAGTTTCTGTGTCTGAAAGTACTGCTTACAGCATTTTCAGCATAATTCTGATGTTAATGGCAGGTGCAAAGGTGAAAAGATCTGTCAGCTTTAGGAAAGTTACTGTAAATTTGCTGTGAATTCTTAGCGTGTATTTAAAAAATTAGATTTTAAGGATTACCATTTCAGCCATCACTACCCCCATTCAGTGTCATGTTGGGCAAGTTATAAAAATGGCATCAAGTCAAACAATGGGATGTGCTGCTGAAGAGTTTGGGTATCTTTTATAGCTGTGTGTAACACATTTATTTAAATCCTCTTCTCTAACACCTCAGTTTTGTTCAAAATAACTTCAGTAATTTTCTGATGCTCTTAAACAAGAGAGTGATTAATGTAATAGAGAAAAAGGACATACAGTCTGTTTCTCTAACAATCAGTTTTCGTGCTATAGTATACATGAGACCTGCTCTGAAAATAATGCCTCCTGTTTTATGGTGGTAGAGGTTGAACCTTCCCATCAATATTCCATTGCATTTTGTTGCTGTGTGACACGTGGCAGCAGAGAGACAGTGTGACAAAATGACATCTGGCATGGAAGTGGGTATGAAAGGGGTGTGGAAATGGATTCCTCTGTGTGGAAAAAGTTTGCTGATCCTTGGACACCAAGCAGTGGATATGAGCACAGAGAGGTGATGGGTGGTGCATTTCAGCAGTGGTGACAATGAAGTGGAAGACAAGCCATGTTCTGGATGACCATGCAGATTATTATGAGCGCGGCATGCAGGCTCTTGTTGGTGGCTGGTGAAAATGACTAGCTACTGGTGACTGTTGAGAAATAGTGTTTTGTAGCTGAGAGTTTGCTCTATCAAATGGTGTTATTGTGCTCTTTGTAGCTGTTGTGGCTCTCATGGGAATAAATTGGAGGCATTACTTTTGGAGCAATGTACATATTTGCTGAATTTTATTTTAGTTCTGTTTGAAGGACAGTGGGTGCTGGTGTGTGGGTAGGATATATTCACCTCCACTGCTGAAACAAATGTGTAACTTCTGTGTCAAGTGGTGAGCGCATTTCTGACTGTGCTTTTACATTTCAAACCTTTGGAGAAGCTTCAGACCCATTTTTTATAGGACAAACCAGAGATGTATCATGTCAAGGCTCTTGGTTCATATTGGGACTGCTTAAGGAGAATGTTTTTCCTGTCTCTTTAGATCTACTGAAAGAATGCTTTAAAAGGTGATCTGGCTGAATTTCCTAAAATATTTTCATGGGAAGAGACAGATTTCAAGCTGAAGAAATCTTAGGAGTCCTGATCTATAACACCCTGCCATGGTGTGAAGTTAATCATGTGACACTGCAGTACTGGTTTGGGGCCTACAGGATTAAAGAGTGTTCAGTCAGCTGCAACTTCCCAAGCTGCTTTGGTCAGGGACGTAGGGGCAGTTCCTGAGATCATTTCTCAGATTGTATTCATGCACAACTCTGGGGTTTTTCATACTGACTTGTAGCAACTATTTTGTTACTCTTGTTGTATTGAGGTTGTGTGATGTGAACAAAACACACTTGATATGTTCAGATGAGTCTGGAATGTCTGAGCTGTTTTAACGTAATGTAAATGCGAGTTACTGCTAAAAGGGTGTGTCACTTTTCACTCCTTCCCCACATGCCATTCACTCTCATTTCCTTTTTCCTGCACACCCACCTGTGCAGTGAGCTAGATTGTAGAACTGATTCAGTTAAAATTAACGTGGTTTCTGTAATCACAAGTCAGGTGGTGTTGAGACCTTTCCTTTTAGTAGCCACTAGTGTAAGATGGTCTTTAAGACCTAAAGCTGAGTCATTACATGACTGTATGTCTGATGTGCTGAAACTGGATCTGTATTTTAAGAACAGGTAATGCATGCTGCCTACCTACTTCACTTTTCACGGAATTAGTGTGTATTATTACCTATTTACAAGCTGATTTTTAAAAAAGTGTTCTTTTATTACAGTTTGGTGATATTAAAATAAGATTTTATAAAGGGGGAAGGGAAGAAAATAGAGTGCAGCATGGGAAGAGAACAGTGAACTCATCCTGTAGAGCCATCCCTTCCCATTGCTTAGGAAAGAGAATGGGCAGAGGCAAGTGGTGCATGAAATGTTTTGGTGTCTGCAACACACTGCCAGCTCCTCTTTGCTGGAGGCCCTCTGGGAAAGGGTGTAACAAATGCACAGTATAATTGATCTGCCCATGCATAGTAAATTGGTGAGCATTGTATTATGGTCAACTATGCTATGCATTTAATCTGTCCGTGCAAAATAAATCTGAGAAGCATTGTGCTGTGGTCAACTGTGCTATTCATTTAACATAATTCTGGTCACATGTCTCTCTTTCTGTGCTGCTGGAATTAACAGCAAGTTAAAGAACTTGTGAATTATTGCTATATATGATATATGAACTACAAATATACAATAATGTTTTCTGGAATTGATGGATCTTCTCAGGTTTGGGTTTTTCCGTACACTGAGCTCTGTTCATTTGTGTTTAAAATTTTTGCTGACACAATTATACTGTTTACGAGTGTGGAAGGAATTCCAGCCCAACTCTCTGGTAGTTGATTAAAAGTGGTTTTGACAAATGCCAGACTAAAAAGTCCTGCTGGTACATTTTGCTTTTTTTTTGGAAACTGCTTCAACTCAGACTAGTAACAAAACTCCTGTTAATATAACTGTTTGTTAGCCTGAAGAGTTTTTCTGCTATAAATATAACCCAAGTTCTCCACGTAGTTTCAGAGCACTGTTTAGCTTGCCTTAGGCAGATTTAGCCATAGTGGCTAAAACAAAGATCTCTAGCTGTCCTTCTGGCCTCTATGGCAGAAATAGATTTCCCTTAGCTGGGATAGCTGGGTAAAATGCTCTGTATCAGCAGTAGTTCACAGTCTGCCATTATCTGTGTAAACTGGTATCTGCAGCAGCTTATACTAACATGCTAGACAGTGAGTTATTACTGCAGAGGAAAAGATTTACGCTTTGCTTGGCTGTTGTGCTTTGGTTGTGTTAGTGGACAGCTGTGGTACCTGCTTCAGGCACCATAACTGCATTTGTCAATGATTTTCAATTTGGGCTTGCTTCAGTCAATGTCATATTTTTCTTTTTCATTCATCTGTAGTAGTCAGATTTCCTAAACTGGTGTGCAACTTCAACACTCCTTTATTGTCCTTTCCACTTTGCTTCCTCAGATGGCTTTAATTAGCAAGATCTATTGAGCTATTTTCCTGCATGATATCAATATAAGAAAGTAGAATATCAGCAAGTCTTTTTTTTTTTTTTTTGTCATCTAATTAATCATTTAATCCTACCTGGAGTAAATGAGAAGTGTCTGTATAAGGATGTGTGGTTAATGATAGTAACAACTCGGTTTTGCTTACTCTGTATTATAGATAATAATTCATGAAGCTCTATTGCCAATAGTTTATAAATAGTTTTCTTTTATAGAGACTCACTTAAAAACTTAAATGATTTCAAGGATTTTTAAAACTGTGCATTACTTTTCTAATTTTGCAAACTTTTTTGTGTCGCTAAATTAGTTACTTCAGCTAATCTGTTCACTTATGCAGGCAAGCATTTAAATATCACCATATCAGCAGGACTCTGTTCACACAGCTTACAGAGGCCTTAGGTTAGGAACTTCAAGGAACAGAATTCCTATTAGTCTGTCATGTACAGTCTGTATAGAAAGTGGCATCATCTTCAGTACTTGTTACTAGATTGTCATTAGTGTGGAAGTGTTACCTTTGTAACAGGTAACTTGCAGCATGCATGTGTATCAGGATTGTTTCCATGTTATAGTCCATGTATGCTCTGGCAAATAGCACACTTTAAATTTTGTCAGAAATATTAATGTAGTTCTATTTGACAGAGTCATGCTGAATTTCTGTATTTCAAGTCAGATATGAGAATAAGACAGTCTAAAACTATTCTGATTCACTTTTTTGATTCCTGCAGTTTGGCTGAAGAGGAAATAAAGGCAGAGCAGGAGGTGGTGGAGGGGATGGATATCTCCACTCGATCCAAAGGTGAGTGAGAAGGAATATTTCACATGTTCCATAACAGAGAAAAATATTTGTAAACCAGGACAGTGAAAACTGTACCATCTACTGTGAAACTGCACTTGAGAGAAGACTCGCTCTGTTTTTTTACAGTGACTATTGGATCTTGGAATGTGTTTTGGTTTTTGCTTAGTTTTCATTGTATGTCATACCCACCCCCCACACTCCATTGTTATTTCTGATTTATGCACAAGTAAATTTAGGTCCCTGGAAAGAACATCAGCCTTCTGTTTCGTCTTACTTGCCATGGCTTCCCTTGAAGATTTGCAATATAGGAGAAACTAATAATATGAAGTTAGTATTTCATACAGTGACCAATCCTAATTTTCCTAAGAATGAAGAACACTAACATTTCTGTTTCCATAAAAATTGGCCCACTGAACAGTGTGTTTTAAAAATGTTAATGTCTGCATTCCATTATCCCCATCTGAAGTAAATTTGGTAGTATTGGGGAATTTCTGTCTCTCTGGTTTTTACATTTTTCCTATGAATGAATTACTACAGGCAAATGCTGTTGTCTCTCAGTATAAAGAAACTCAAAGATGTAAACATCTCTATTGGTTTAAATAATGCCACCATCACATGGACTGGAGCAAGAAAAGTGCCCTGCAATGAAATACTTGCACATGATTGCTTGCTACAGTTCAGTGTAGTTGAATGCCAGCTGCCTGTCCACACTCCTTTTGTACTTGCAACAGATTTGGCTTTCAGGTAAACCAAGCAATTTATGTTGCTTTTATGCATTGCATTTCTGTCGTCTTTGTCCTTTCAGATAGTAATTTTCTTTCAGTTCTCTGGTAGGATTAGATGAGGTAGTATATATCATCTCTGTCATCTGTCTGACAGCTCACAAGAGATTTGCTTACTCCTTTTATCTACCTTTGCCCCCTTCTCTGCTCGTTGTCTTGCACTTCAGCCTCCATCCTTGGACCGTTTTTGATGTTTACTTCTGTATTTCAGTGGACTAAGCTAGCAGAAAGTCAACTACTTTTTTTTGCTTTAATGACTGGAGAAAGAAGATATCTCCTGGTCCTCCCTACTCCCAGCTTTGTGGTCCCATCACTTTATTCCTTTGTGGGGCTTGTCAGATCCCAGGTGATATAAGAGGCAAGGGGAGTTATTAGTTGCATTTGGCTGCCCATGACATAATTCACCTTCAGTTCACCTTAGGAAGACTTTGACCTGGATATTGATGATGATAATACAAATTTCACACACATCAAGTGAGCTAAATTGTTTCTTTTGTCACTCTGAAATTCAGTATCTGAAAGACTTTTATGAGTTTAATAATATTTATGTAGATGTCTGCATTTTCACACTGTTGCTTTACTTAGCACAGAAACAGATGTATGGTCCAAACAACAGGTTTCAGTTCTCTTACCTTAATTGGAGTGCTGATCTGACCTCAAGGTGTACTGATTTAATGAATTAAGCCCATGAGGAACCTTTTGCTTTCCTTGTAGGGTTAAAATGAATTTTCCCAAGACATTAAGCTGATTAAATAACTCATGATTATTGAAAGGGATGGACTTTCATCTTCCAATCTCATCTTTCATTCCTGTGATCTTGCAGCTCCCATTGCTTTGGCTTGGGTCAATTCAAAATAGAAAAAAGACTTGTGTTTTATACTGAGTTTGCTATTGGTGCAACTCCCTGAACAAGCTCATGGGCAAGCTCCTGTAATGATTGAAGGGAGAGTGGTTTGTAAAACAAAGACAGGATTACCATAATGCTAGTTTAGATTGGCCCAACCTGTCACTGTGGCCAGAAGTCACTGTTCTGTATACAGAAAGACTCTTAAATATCAGTGAGATTGATCTGAAAGGCCTTTGGTGGTCAAACATCACCCTAGGAAAGATAAAACTTGACAGAAGTTGAATTAATTGAATAATAGTAATGTATGTGATATTTCTTTAACTAAGCACTCCTTTCGTTTAGTTGGTTTGTTAAATTTGGACTGTATGTTGGGCAAAAGCCATGTCAATGCTATTTTAAAGGGAAAAATAGCCACTGCCCACCCCTGGTCCCTTTCAGCTGTTTTGTCAGTGAAGAAGTGATGTGGGATGTAAAGAAATCTTAAGATTTATCCGTAAGCCATCTTGCTTTACTGTATTTCCAACTTAATTTATAAATTGGTGGTAGAACTATATAATAGTTGAATTTGTAAGTTTGCATAGAAAATAAAAGGGAGTGGATCGTGTCATCTGCTTCATGCAAGAGCTGGCTATGTTACAAGCCTGCTGAAGTGAATCTTTCTTGGCTTCTGTTGTATGGATTGAAACAAGATCCTCTTAGTTTAGTGCAGTGTTCTGCAAAGGAAAAGTCAGAAAGCAGAATTTAAAAAAACTGCTTTTATACTCTGTGTAGGGTAGAAAAATGGCAGCAAGGTTTAATGGTGGTGTGATAAGGTAACAGTGTTTCTGTAATCTTGTTCAGAATTTTGCTTTGTGTGTTTTTGAGAAGATGTATATGAGGAAATTGATCTTGGATGGATAAGCCCTTAAGGGAAGCACGGAGCCCTGCTTTATTTATTTATTATTATGCTCTGAGAAGCAGGAGTTGAATCCCAGGTTGTATAATTTCACTGCTGTCCTGAAGAAGCTGTTATGCTGCAAGTTTGTAGCTTAACTTGCTCTGCTAGAGTGTGTTTGTATAGCTAATGTGAGGCCATGTGTAGGGATAGTTGTGCTAAACTTAATTAAATTGCTTAAATTAAATTAATTAAAAAGCTAGCTCAATGTAGACCTCATCATAAACATACTTTAGAGTAAACAGTTCAATTTTACTTGTTATAAATGAATTCTAGTTCAGCTTAAACTAAACTGAAACATGCATTTTTTAATCTGAAACCAGAGGGTGTCAACATAGCCTTTTGAATTGGTTTAAGTCAGGTGGTGATTTCAAGGCAGACTAAGCTTGGCAGACTGCTCAGTGCTGCAGTTTTACCCACTTGCTTCAATAGTTAAGCTGGCAGGAAACTAACTGAACCATAAAACATGCTTAGCTTTTTACTAGCTTAGTATGCTGCAGTAGCTTGGTAGGCTGCCAGAACTGATATAAGAGAGAGGACAAGAATATACCAGTTGGGTGCAGGAAGTGTAGAGCTTGGCAGCCAGCCTTTAGGTAGGCTTACGCTCTAAGAAAACTGGAGCTTAAAATCATAGCTGAGACTTCTTATGCTTAACAATGTGATACATAAAGGTGAGTCTCTAGCAGTAGTCAGAGCTATGCATTCTGACACTCCAGCTGCATTTTTCTACCCCTCTCCTTAGGCTAGCACTGGTGCTTATGCTATTGCATAGTGAGCAGTGTCAAGAAGTTTTATACTGTATTTTTTGCTCTAATCATGAACAGATTGATCTAATGATTGCACACAAGTGCCTCTCTGCAGGAAGGTGTAGAGGCAGACCTCTGGTGGAGTTGAGAAGGGAATGGGAGTGGAGTAGTTCTACAGTTCTAATTTAGGTCTGCTTATAAGCTGTGGATGGGCAGCTCCTGTAAATATGGGATTTTAAAATACACTGCTGTCTTGATTAGAGCAAGCATGTGTAAGACATCAGAGAATGGAAATGGAAAATTATGGCTTCAAGAGAATAAAAGAAGTCTTAAATAAAAAAAAAAAAAAAAAAAACAGAACAAATGCAGAAGCAGATTGCTATTTAGCAAAGGAAAAAAGCCATGGAATAGATTATTGTAGTATTTTGTCCTCTGCATATCATACATGAACATTTCTGACAGAAACATCTTGTTGTATTTCTGTTCCAGCCCTACGGACTACTTTTTAACTTTGTATATTAAATATTTCAAGATAGAGCTTTCAAGGCTTTCTGGAGGATTTCCTGAGTGTTTCCAGGTTGTGTTCCCAGAGCAGCATAACCAGCTTAATTATTGTCTGATGCAGTTCTGTCTTTCCATGTACTTGTTCTCTCTAGGCAACAGTAGACTCTTCATTGGGCTTTTTTTCTACTATTAACTTGAAGACTTTTTCTTTTTTTCATGTATTTCAGCTTGTGCTCTTGTTTGCTTGCATAGTGACTAGCAAAAAGGAGCTCCTTAACTTCCTCCTTCCCATCATCAGTCGTGTTCCTTATGTTCCTGTTGTGTCTGTACTGGCACTTAGCCAGTTCGATTCGAAGTCTGTTAAGGATTTGGATGTGGAAGTAATTTTCTACCTGCTTATCTCCCTGAACCAGATTACGAAGGAGTTGAATAGATGTCATTGCTAGGATCAGATGTGCCTGTCAGTGATAGCTCATCATTAGATGTTCTGAGCTGTATAATAAAATCATATACTGAAACACTACTACACTTAGTGGTAAGAATTCTGACTTGGGCAACTTTTGTAATGTGGCAGGTTTGTATTTAAGGCTTGTCTTTTAAAGGCATCTCACAGTGGTAAAGATACTGTTCAGATATTTTAAGTAGAAATACAAAATGACTAGTAAAACCAAATTTCTGGAAAACTTCTATCTTTTGTGATGGTTTCATAATAGTATAACGTTTCAAATTTTGGCACAGTGACACCAAGTATGAAGTTCTTGCCTCAATGTGAAATGTAATTTGAAACTGCTGCAGTGAAAAATAGTACAGCCTGAGGCTTTTTTCTCTAGTACTGAGGGTCTTCAGGAGCGCCTCGAGGCAGCAAGTCCCCCTGCAGCCAGGCTGTAGCTCATAAGCTGCTTACCTCCCTTATGTTGCCAGAGGTAGCCATGTATTTCTTGCTCTCTGTCTTCCAGAGCTCTAAATTGAAGAAACATGTAACAGTCTCTTTTTGTACTTGCAATTGTAATGTAGGAGTTCATCAGGATTTACACAACCATGGGTAACCTCTGTTATTTATTACATTAAGCAACTGAATTGAGTTAATTGCACCAGTTGAAGTTCCTGGAATGTAAACAGGGCTTTAGTGGTTGATTGCAACTGCATTATATTTCAAAACCCTGGCATAAGATTAAAATGTCTCAGAG